GCTGTCCCGAAACTGGCCCCTAAGTTCTATGGGCCCTTCAAGGTTCTACGGCGGATTGGCAGTGTGGCCTACCAGCTGGAATTGCCGGAGAACAGCCGGATTCATGATGTTTTCCACATCTCCTTGCTGAAACCATTTACGTGTTCCTCCGGACCAAGTCCCCTCCCTACCACCCTTGAAAGATGGCAAACTTGTTCCCCAACCTAAGGCTCTCACCCGCTCTCATTTCAATCAAGGAAATCTTGAAGTCTTGGTGGAATGGGGTAGCTTACCATCGGCCGAAGCCACCTAGATCCCATTGGCTGAGTTCCAAGCCACGTATCTGGAGTTCGAGCTCGAGGACAAGCTCTTAGTCCAGGAGGGGAGTAATGTTATGGACGCATTCCTCGGGAAGAAGTATCATCGCCGCCAGCAGCAGCAGGAACCTGACCCACCGCCAGCAGCAGCAGTGGTTCAATGATTCTCATCCTACCCAGTTCGACAACAACAGCCTTATCTAGATTAGATTAGATCATCTTGCTTGTTCTTATCTTATTGCTCTTATCTTATTAGTGGATTATCAGATTATGATTAACTTATTTTATCCTTAGCAAGATAGAACTGGAAGTCTCCCTATTCAGCAAGGAGACTCCCTAAGATTAGGACTCTTGTAATCTCCTATTTAAGGAGACACCATTATGGAATGAGATATCGAATATTCAGTTAAAGAAGTGAGTTAGGAGAGTTGGTGATCTCTTGAACAAATTACCAAGGCGCCAAGACATCAAGAGCAGGAAGGAACAAGGGAAAACAGGAGGTTTTCCCCGTGGACCAACCCGTGACGAGATCCTATTCTCGGGCCCTCAACAATTGGACATTCCAACAATTTCATTCTGAATTTCAAATTTTAGCCAAAGGGTCAATGTTGTCAGACTTGGACCGGACATTAACTGCTTTGGTTACTAGGTCACTGGTGGTTGACCCAGTGATCTGTGGCAGCATGCTTAAATCTATAGTTATAAAATAAAGGCATATATAAAACATGGTTTTCAAAACCAAATCGGACCGAATGGTCGGACCAGAAAAACTGGGAACCAGTCACCTGACCGGTTCCGTTTTCCCTCAAAACCGCTTTTTTCCCCCAAAACCGTTGATTTTGGTTAGTAAACCGCTGAACCGGCCAGTTAACCGTTTGAACGGTTTTGACCGTTTTCCATTTTTTTTTATTTTTTGTCAGAATGGGCCGACTGTTCGAACCGCTAACTGGACCCCTGACCGGTTCAGTCACCGGTTCGTTTTTAAAAACCATGATATAAAATAATAGCTCAATGACTGTTGTCTTTTCTTTGCGTACTTGTGACTTAGGATCAAGTCACCTCATTTGCATTTTAACATAAAAATAGATATAATATGCATGTAAATGTTATAAAGAATAAAATATTCACAAGGTGGCACGTACCTCAATTGGTCTGTATATCAACTTTCAATCAGGTTGTGCATGTGGTCATTGAAAATCTGATTTTTACTAAACCATCTGGATCAATAGCAGTTCTTCTGTGTTTTCAAAAACTCGAGAGAGAATGTATTTACAAAACTGACTGGGTTGTGTGTTAACTGGTCCAACCATTTCGTCTGGTCTGAGTCTGACAAACTGCAAATCTGTACTTGGATCTGATTTTAGTCAACGTTAGATATTTCTAGATGGTTTTGAGAGTGGATCTGGTTGTATTTGATGTATTTTTTTATTTTTTATTTTTTACCTTCCTGGCACTGTCAGTGAAATCCCTTCAAGACTTCCACAGATTGTAGCTCTTTTTTTTTTTTTTAGTTTTAATGAATTTACTTTATTATGGAAAAAATCTTGCCATGCTCCTACGTAAAGTTTCAAGTGTGATATTACTTGTTGAATCTACAAGAAATTAGAACCTTTGGGATTGTTCATTTTATTCCTTGCATGTCAAAAATCTGAAGATGTGGATAAAACAGGTAGGTGCCAATCCTTGAGAAGTCTATTTAAGATGTTTAATACCAATGAAACATTTGATATGAAAGATAAGCAATACTGGTTCTCTTTCTTTTCTATGTGAACAGTAGGTCATCTCCTGTTCAGATTCTAAACTATAACTAATGTAATCTCCATCATGGAATGAATTGTCATCATCTTGTAAGCTTTCTTGGTTAGCATTGTGTCCCTAAACAAGGGAGAAGACTATAGTTATTTGTGCTACAATTCCTGGAAGAGTTACTATTAGGAACAGTATGGCAGAGGGGTGTCATTATATCATCTAAAGGTATCAATCCTATGCAACAATGTAGAGAATTTCCTTGGAAAGAAAAAGTAGTTTTGGAAAATGGCCTGGTTTAATTGCTGATCGAAGAAAAAGGCCTGGTTTAAGAAACTCTTGGGAATCTTGATTTAGCAAGCAGATACATGAATCCAAGCGCCTACAAGGACTTCATCCAATCTTGATCTGTCTAACAAGAATTTGCCCAACCTTTGATCTGTCTTATATATCTCTTCCCCTTAGAATGTGACTTTTGTGGTGACAAAGTATAAGTGTAGCTATCTACTCAGGGCTGGTTATGGTGACTCAGGTAGGGCAGAAATTTGGGCTGTTCTATAAGGACTACAGATGGCAAAATCTCCAAATTTCAGAGGCATATTTGTTAAAGGGGATTCATACATTATTGGATGGATAAAAAGGAACTACGAGGGATAGTGGAAATATAGGCACATCCTAAGGGGAATCAAAATGATGACTTTTGAGTTGAGAATAACCTTTAGATGGATCCCAAGATAAGAAAATAGCATAGCTGTTAGCCTGGCTAAACAAGGGGTTAACAGAAAACAAATATTTTGGGCAATGTTTTAAAATGCGAAGGTGTGGCGTGAAGCATCCTACCATCATAAGGTGTGAGGCATAAACAGGACACAAAGCCATAAGCCTCTCAAGAATAGATTTTTAATTAATGAATAATTAAAAATAAGATAAAAAATAAAGAATGTAGTAAATATCCAACAAAAATAGATAATCTATGAGAATTCATGTGCAATTTCTAATAATAAAACCATCACATTTAGAAGTATCATTACATCAAGTATCACCATCGATAATTAAATAAGTATCAGCAGCCATCAACATATTTGATACATAATAACGATTTTTTTAGTTTTTTTTTTCAAAATTGTTTCAGGGGGTTGATTTTAGGCATGCGTACCCCCTGTAAGTGGTCAAAATCCAAAACACCCCCTATTTGGGGTATCGGAGAACTCCCAATACGATATGATATGCCTGACACAGGGTGCATCGTACTGAAATTTTGAACCTTGCTTGCAAAGTTGCAAATCAAAATTTCTCAATTAACATTTCACACAAGTTGCACAATATTAGTATAAGCAAATGAATGTAATGCATTAAAAGAAATCAAAGTTACAGTGCCCCTACTTCTATTTATATCATTTTATCATAACATCACAATAAACAATTTTGGAGAGTTTTCATCCTCTTCTTCTCTATCATGTAATATATAACAGGGAAAACAATAAAATGGTTGTCCATACTTGTGACATTTTTATTATAATAAACTAGCTCCAAAGGTAAGAGCATATGAGGCAGTGTTTTCTTAGCAGTTCACATGGTACATGCCTCCAGCACCCTTTGAAACATTGGTTTTAGGTATGTTGTTATTTTCTACTAAGTTTTCTTGAAGGCTTCTGTCGTTCTCTTGGTTTTGAAACCAGTAGAACACATTCTTTCCTTCAATTTTCCAAAGAATGAAAGATGGGCAGCTGTCATATGAGTTGCATTTGGAGTCCTTGTCCCTCCCCTGATGCTTGAATATGGAAGGTATAGGTTGAAGGTCAATAGTATCCAAGTAATCAGCTCCAAGTCCATGAAGAATATTAGGCTGAACCATGGTAAGGATGTTTTTCAGGGAAGCTGTTTCAGATACAATGAATGTCTCAATATGTGGTGCAGTGGATTCATTCATTGTATGCATTAGGTCATTGTCTGCACTTTGTACTGATCGGTAGAACCAGATTCTAACCACTAAGAATGTTTCTTAGGGGAACTGTTTACAGTGAATCTCTCAATATGTGATGCAGTGGAATCACTAAACTGTATGCATTAGGTCATAATCTGCACTAGTACTGATTGGTTGAACCAGATTCCAACCAGTGAACCCTGTCCTGAAAGGGTTGATTTTAAGATAATTGTGCTTACCACCAAAAAAAGGAAAAAAACATGTATATGATTTAATTCAAAGCAATATGTATGAGGATACTCACCAGTTGATATTGTGTTTTGTGCTTCACATTTTTGGGGATCAAGGGAAGGTGAAGCTTTGAATGGTCAATGATTATAGTGGAGCAAATCGACCATGAAAACAATGAATGTTTAAGGATAGGAGACAGTGCCCAGTAGTTTTTGTCTCCATTGTTTAAACAAGCTCCTTAAGCTACAGTGTTCAAATTCATATGGTTCACAACTCATTTGCAAGTAAATACTTCTTATACTTCTACAGTCTTCCCAAAGTTATGCACAGTTTTGACACTCCAGATCTGCCACCCACAAAATGTTTCCACATCTATACCCACGGAACACTACCGCCCTGTATTGGAAACATCTCCTATGAATGAAAAAGAAGATATTCCTAATGCACAACTGCAATGTCCCGTGGGGGTAGAGATGTGGGAACAACTTGTGGGTAACGGATCCGAGCTCCAGTTTTTTATCGACAGGTTTTACTTGCAAGAATGTTTACAGGCATTGTGTTTGCATATGGTAAATGGGGGAGGCTCAGGCATCAGAGTATGACAAGTGGGCTGAACCAGAGGCTGGAATTTACTGTAGAACGCTAATATATTGCTATTTCAAGAGTTTTGATATTTGAACCAGGGTCTGTCGACTCTCTCCTGGGCTGGCATAGGGGAAGCAACCAATGTTAATCGTTTAAACAAAGGAGAGTAACCGAGTAGGCATCCAAAGTAACAGATCTGTGCTGTTTTGGTTGAAGGGTACGTGGGAATCCTGCAAGTGATATTACTGCAATTTAAACCTTTCGTTACATCTTGAAAGTTGAAGCAGAGAAAAGGAAAAGCCTCCGACTAGGCTTCCCCACCAAGAGTTGGGACCTTTGGCAGAGATCCTTGGTGGGGGTTACAGTAATCAAATCCAAACCAAACGTTTTCAGGCACAAATGTCCTGAAGTAGAAGAGGTAAGAAGCTAGCGAGAGGCGACTATCATCTCGTCGATGAAGAACCTTCACCCAACCGGGTCTCCATCTATCTGCTCCAAACTGCTTGAGGTAGAGAGAGCACACACTTCGACTCATGCACGGCCCACTTGTGTCGAACACGTCCACCGCACATCGTTCGAACGCACGGTACGTGCCTCCTTGCTTCCTTGCGCCTTCTTTGGGAGCATTCAGTGATTTGGGGTTCTTCAGATGCTTCACGACGACGAGATTACCAGCAGAGTCGCCGAATCTAACACCAACGACACCTTTGGTGTCGGCAGATGGTGCACATGTTGTCTCAATCACGATGGAGTAAGTGCAATTGGCTTGCGATGCATGGGACATAGGGTTGGCCGGTTGAACCCCGTCAGCCAAAGGAGAAACGATTACAGAGAGGGCAAAGATGAGTAGGATGATGATGGCTTGGGTGTTCATGGAGAATCCTAACATGGCTACTTTGGTTATCCCAATATACATGGTGGGGTAAATTGTCCATTTATAGTGTGCACGAGAGGTCTCTTTAGATCAGATTCTCTTGTGATAAAAGGCAAAGCTAGAGGAGGCGACAGTAGGAATCCTTGAAAGTGGCTGCTTCTGTTCAAAGGCACCGTTTACAACAGTCTGAATTGATAGCTTTGAAAAAAAGAAATAGATACTGATATCCACTTTCACACCATTCCTCTTCATGTTTCATATCTAAGACTCTTTCTTTCTTAATAGTTAATGCTCCTAAATAAACAATTATAATAATAATAATAATAATCACTGCTTTGTTGTTGAAAATACCAAAACTGACTCACCCATCCCATTTATTCCATTTGAAGGTGCCAAGGGCTAGCAATTCGAATGTGGCCCTCGTACATAGTCACAATGATGATCAAGTTTAGTTGCTTTTAAAAGTTATAATTTGTTGATTTTGTTATTGTGTAGCTTTTATCAGATGAATGTCTATGGAACTTAAGTCCACCATGCACTATATGTACTTAGTTTCCTAGCTTAAGCTAGTAGATTATTCTAACAAATAAACTATTAGAATGCTCGAGTCTCGAGAGTAAAAAAGCATACCTTCCATTCCATGTACGTTGTATTAGGCTAGAGATGTCACCACTCACCACGATGTAATGGAATCATCCACTGGCAAGTGGCATCATCGCTTGTCTGCTGTTTTGGTGAGAAATAATCATAAAACGTTGCTTGCCTGGTACCTTTTCTTTTAAAAGTTATTCAACAATGGAATGGATTATGGAGGTCCATCCTCAACTCAAGTAACCCTAATCCTTAATGTTGGATGTCAGGATATGACCCATCAACTCATCCACCACACATTTATATGATCTTCATTTAGTTTTTTACTTTCTCAAAAACATGAGATTTATCCTGAGCTTGCTAAATTCTATTAGGACCTCGGCCTAGATTCAGAAGGCTGTGGATTCCACTTGTGGTGCAACTTGGGCGGGCAGTTCGATCTCGGACCAACTGTCTGGGCTTGAGCCCAAAACCCCAGGTTTCCCATTTTTTTAGTCTAAGCCCGATCTTTAGGTCGTCCAAGCCCAAGTCCAGTTTTCCTATCTACATAACATTACATACTTACACACATATATATGCAAATGCATACATGCATGTATACAAAATATTCATACAACCTTTCAGTACATTGTATCTAATAGGCCCATCTATACGCAACTGACAAACTTGAGTCTGGCACAGGTCTGAGCCCAACGTGAATATGTCCAATTTCAGTTTGGGTAGGGCCTAGATTGGACAGATCAAATTTGACGTTAGGCTCAGTCTGGGCTCAGGCCTCAAGCCCAATTCTTAGGGTTGGGCCTGGCTTGATTTAAAACCGTCCCAACCTGCCCCACTTGCACAGTTGCACATCTAGTCTCCGTGGAGGCGCCGATTCAGTGAAGTTCCCGACTGACCCAGTGGCATGGCAAATTCTAATTGGATGCAGTAGAGAACTAAAGTAAAGATGATTTTCATAGGAGTTAGTTGGTTAAAACTTAGGGTCCATTTGGCTTACAATCAGAACTGGAATGATTTATTCCCATAGACTATTTGGTTCAGATAGGAATGGGAATGGGAATTAAAATCAGCATGAATGAGATTTCATTCCCAAGAGAGGGGTAGGGAATGGCCATTCCCTCAAATGGGGGAATGCCATTCCAGCAAGAATGGGAATGGAATTCCGATTCCGCCCAAATAAACAGTTGTAATTAGAATAGTCCATTCCGATTCCGATTTCAAACTCATATTCCTGCAAACCAAACGGGGCCTTAAAAATTAATCAGAGCATTATTATATCAACTTCTTGGGATTTGGGAATCATCAATTTGGATTCCGGCTATGGTCCCTTTTCTTAATTAAGATAAATCTCAAGCAACATAATTTGGACGCTGCTGACACCATAGCTGGGCTCCGAACGGACAAAATCGTAGGCCTCTGTAATGGGCCATATGGTCCATGGGCCGGTATGCCTGTTGTCACCCATTCACAGTCATATAAGAACGTTAACTTTTGCTACAGGAAAAGTGGGGGTGGGGGGGTTATGAAACAATCAACCGAACTCGATATCTTATCCTTCCTGTCTATATCTGCTCTTGGAGCAAAGACTGGGAGATCATCGACAGCAGTAATCCTCTCTCGAGGAGATTGCCTCAGTTGCGGCAGTGGTATATTGATGACGAACTCATCGGTAGCTCGAGATGATGAACCTGCTAACCTCTCGGAAGGTCGAGATGATGAACCTGCTAGCCTCTGCATATTGAACAAGGTTTTCGGAAAGAACAATACAAGTGCGAAAACAAAATCAGGAGTGATTGAATGAAGGAAAAAAATGCCTGTTAGAGAGTTTGGATCTGATCTGCCTCTCTCTCCTCTCCTAATCCTAATCTCCTTATCTCTGCCGCTTCTTATCTTTCTATCTTCTTATCTTCTTTGTGATGTATTTTATCTCAAACCCGCAAGAGTTCTATTGTAATCACAATTACTAACATTATAAATACACAGGGGTTCGGCCTGCCATGACAAACCTTTCATTCTGAATTCAGTCGACCATTACTTATTTCTTCAACTTGGTATCGGAGCCAAGACACCATGGTTTCCAATGATGACACAGCTTCGGTCCAGAACTCAGTGCAAAATTCTCAGATCCAAACTCTCTAAAAGGCATTTTCTTTCCTTCATTCATTCACTCCTGATTTTGTCTTCACACCTGTATTGTTCTTTCCCAAAATCTTGTTCAATATGCAGAGGTTAGCAGGAGGTCCATCATCTCGAGCTACCGATGAATTTGTCATCGATATACCACTGTCGCAACTGAGGCAATCTCCTCGAGAGAGGACTACTGTTGTCGATGATCTCCCAGTATTCGCTCCAAGCGCAGATGTAGACAGGAAGCATAATACTCCACGTAGCCGATCGTCGGGGAAGTGGGTCCATATCATTCCTGTGATTGTGTTAGTTTGCAACTTGATACTCTGGTGGTTCTCTCATCCAGGTACGTTTGTAAAGAACTCAAGAACCCAATTTCTCTTTTGCTTCATCTGTTCTTTTCTTTCTTTCTGCTTTTAACTTTCTTTTGGGGGTGGGTCCGAGAGTTTTTTGTGCCTATTGGGATACGGAGGAGTAGAGTTGATAGGATTTGGGATGTGAGAGAGAGTAGACTAGGTAAGATAGGACGGTAGCAAATGATAAAGGCTCAAGTTAGGGAAAATTGGAACTTGTATTGGTTTGTTCTCAAATGTATTAGCCCTATTTATAGTAAAGCCAAGTAGGTGAAGCAAAGCCAACCAATATTCTAAACATCTCTCTTCAGAATTTTACATTTTTTAGAAATCATCATCTTCTAGACTCAAATACATTCTAGAATTTAGAACTTCTAGAAAGTGTATTACTTTTATAGAGGTTTAGAAATTTAATTTCTAGAGTGCTAATTAATTCTAGAATTTTGAACTTCTAAAAAACTTCTGGAAAGTGGATTATTTTTTAACAGTTCGATATTCTTTGTTTCCCCTTGTCTCGTCTTCTCCGTTCAATCAGCCGGTAAGTCTCATAGCAAGAGTGAAAGAAATATCAAAGAGAGAGAGAAACTGTGCAACTGATCTCTTTTGTTCTTCTTATTGTTTCTTTATGAACTATTGTTTCTTTCATAGTCCAATTCTCTGTTCTCTTTCTTGCCAACATGCTTATAATTATATCCTTAATTCTTGATTCTATGTTTCGGCTTGGGTGAGTTAAGTATGAAAACTTCAGTTTCTTG